GCAACTGGAGGTTATGGAAGAGCCTTTTAATCATGCACATCTGCACATACATGTACTGGTGATGGTGGTGGTATGACTATCAGAGCTGGTTTACCAATGGAGGACTTAGAATTTGTTTAATTCCATCCTACTGGTATTTATGGATCTGGATGTCTTATGACTGAAGGATGTAGAGGAGAAGGTGGTATTCTTAGAAATTCTTTGGGAGAAAGATTTATGGAAAGATATGCTCCTACTGCTAAAGATCTAGCTAGTAGAGATGTTGTCTCTAGAGCTATGACTAAAGAAATTTTAGAAGGAAGAGGGTATATTATTATTCTAGTATTCTTTAGAGTTGGACCAGAAAAAGATCATATTTATTTACATTTAAATCATTTACCTGCTGAATTACTTCATGAAAGATTACCAGGTATCAGTGAAGCAGCAAAAATCTTTGCAGGAGTTGATGTTACTAAGGAACCAGCACCAGTATTACCAACTGTGCATTATAATATGGGTGGAATACCTACAAATTATAAAACAGAAGTGTTAAATTAAGTTAATGGAAAAGATTAAATTGTACCTGGATTATTAGCTGCAGGAGAAGCTGCTTGTGCTTCAGTTCATGGTGCAAATAGATTAGGAGCTAATTCATTATTAGATATTGTCGTTTTTGGAAGATAAGCAGCTAATTTGGTAGGAGAGAAATGGAAACCTGGATAAAAATAACCAGATTTACCAAAGAATGCTGGTGAAGCAGCTATTGCAAGAATTGATAGACTTAGATATCATGAAGGATCATAAACTATTGCATAAGTTAGAAAAGATTTATAGAGAACAATGTAAAAACATGCAGCTGTTTTCAGAATTGAAAAAACACTTTAAGAAGGTGTTGAAAAAGTAAAGGAAATCTATTCAAGAAAAGATGATGTTAGAATTAAAGATAAAGGATTAGTTTGGAATTCTGATTTGATTGAAGGTTTAGAATTAGAAAATTTATTATGTACTTATTTGCTATAACAATAAAATAGTATAAGGGAAAATGACTATTGAAGGTGCTCTTAATAGAAAGGAATCTAGAGGTGCTCATGCTAGAGATGATTATCCTGATAGAGATGATAAAAATTGGATGAAACATACTCTTGCTAGAATTTAAGATACTAAATAAGGAGATATTCAATTGACTTATAGAGATGTATAGATATATATTCTAATATTTTAGGTTATTTCAAAAACTATGGATCCTAATGAATTTGACACTGTGCCACCAAAGAAGAGAGTCTATTGATAATTATACAATAAAATATATATAATACAAAATTTATGACAGACGTTGAGATTACACCTAAACATTTGAAATTTTAAAAAAAAGGACAAGAAAAAACAGTATACAAAAATATAATTATTAGATTACTATCAAGAACAATAGAAAGGTTGTGCTTAATTTTGCATTCAGACTTTTCAAAAATTATGAAATTACTCCAAATGCAATTTAACTTCTTCCAGGGGAGACTACTGTAATAACTATTAAAGTAAAGAATGTTGAAGCTCAAGAGGACTTTATTTACATAAGAGGAGATAATTTGGATTGTAGAATTTCTGTTAGTTTTGAATGTGATTCTGACCGTTTAGATTAATATATTGATTAAGATATCTAAAATAGAACAATTACTTCACCAGGCTTCGGAAATTTAGAGACATTTGGTAATGTTAGAAGTGAATAGTTTAATGAAGAAGAGAATAAAATACTTCAATAAAGAGTTAAATATCTAACTTAATAAAACCAGTTACTTAATGATGCTTTAGAATAGTTTATGAATTAAGAAATGGATGGAAATTCAATCAAAGAGTTATTAAATCACTTAATTGAATAAGAAAGATAAGATAATGAATTTAGAAGTCAAAGAGTATTACTTATGATAGAAGAAAAAGATAGAGAAATTGAGTTGTTAAGATTGTAATTACAGAAACATCAATTTAACAGTAATACTAAAGATTAACTTAAAGAAGTAGTTAAGGAGAATGAAATATTATAAATGAAAATATAAGACTATTAAGCTAGAGAATAATATTTTAATTAACATTAACCTGAAAAAGAGAGTTATGTTATGTTATATCGTAAGTATGAATCTGTACTTGATCAAAATAAAAAACTAGAATAAATTAATAGATAAATGAATGAAGAGATTGAAGTTATTTCTAAAAGATTAAATGATAGTGGATTATAAAATTCTAATATTAGAGTTGAAGAAACTAGAGATGAATTAGTTAATAGACTGAATGCTCGAATTACATAATTGAAATTGAGAGAAGAAAAATTAATTGAAGAAAATGCTCATTTAGAAGATATGCTTATATAATAATAAGGATCAAGTTATAATTTCTCATCTAATCAATCTAAGAATATCACAGATGATTTATTAAAAAAAGAATATTAGATATTAGAAAAATCAAAAAAAGAATTAGAAAAAAAATGTAATGACACTATTTCTAAATCTTAATTATTAGAAAAGTAAGTTGATGAATAAACTAAATAAGCTGGTCATTTAGGAGATGAATTATGGAAAAGTTAAAGAGAAAATGAAAAATTAAGATAAGAAATCAAAAAATTAAAAGAATAAGATGAATTAATTAAAAAAGAAAGATTAGAATATGAATCTTAAATTTATGCTCTAGAATAAACATTAAAATAAGCTAATAGTTTATAAGATGTAAAAGAAGAAGCTAGAAAAAGATGGGAAAAAGAACTTGGTAAATTACAAAGCAGTTATGAAATTGAAATTGTTGCCTATTAAGAAGAAGCTTAAAAATTAAAAAAAATTATTAATGATTTAAAAAAAGAAAATGAAAATACTAATATTCAACTTAAAGAAACATAATTCAAATTAGATCAAAAAATACAATAATAATCTTAATATGAAGAATAAATGTAAGAATTATAATTCAAAAATTAAAAACTTTAAAAAGTTAATCAATAAAACTAAATTGATATTGAGAAAACTAAAAGTGAATTTATTATTTTAAAAGAAAAAACAGATATTGAATTTTAAAGAAGAGATAATCTTGAAAAGTAACTTCAAGATAGATAATTATGTCTTTAAGATCAAATTAATAATATTATGAAAGAAAAATCAATTACATAAAATGAATTATAATTGGAAATGAGTAAATTATGTTAATAACATAAAGCATCTATTGATTAATTATTAATGGACAATAAATCATTAGAATAATAATATTTATTAGTTCAGGATTAACTCAAAGCATAAAGAGATTAATATGCTTAGAGAGAAGATGCTTTAATTCGAGAGGTTAGGACTATGTAAGATAAAATTGAGAAACTAGTTTAAAATTAAAAGTAAAAGGACATTTAAAGAAGAAATAGTAAAAGTAATAATTCTTCAGTAGATAAAACTATAACACCTACTCTTAATAATATTGAAGAAGAAAGAAAAATATCTGATTTATATATGTAGAAAATAAGAGAATTGGAATAAGAATTAAATAAATCCAGATAATAAAAAATGTAAATAGAATTTGATTTTAATCAACTCAAAGCAAAAAGTACATATTTATAATAGGGATAAACCAAAGATTTTCCAATTTAATAAACTATTCTTGCAGATGATTTAAATTAACTCAAAGAGACCATGATTGAAATGAGACTTGAGAGAGACAAAATTATTAATTAACTATAAGAAAAGGATTATTAAATTGATCATCTGAGCTCATAAATTTAAGATTATGCTTCTCTTGTTTCATAATAATAGGGTAATCTTGAATAAATGGAAATAAAATTAAGTTATATCAATGATGATTTTAAAAAAACTCTTGAATAAAAGAACTCAGAGTTAAATAAATTAAAACTTGAACTCAATATCAGAGATGAATAAAATTAAGTTTACTAAGAATAGACTAAATTATTAACTAATGAAAGAAGAGAGATAAATGAAAAATTTTACATTTAAAATTTTGAAATTGAATAAATGAAAACCAATTATCAAGAAATTGAAACCTCAAGAAAATAATTAATATAAGAACTTAGATAAAAGATTGAGGTGTTAGTAAAAGACAATGAAGAAAATGCTGATATTATTTAAAAGATTAATATTGATTTAGTAAATCAAAAAGAAATATATGAAGAGATAATAGAAAGATAAAATAATACAATGGAATTGATTAGTGAGAAGTTCAATTAAGATATGTAAGAATTATAATGTAGATAAAATTAATATTTTAATTAGAATGATGCTTATAAAAAGAGTTTAAATCCAACTAAAGAATAATAATGGTTTAAAGAATTGCTTTAATCATATCATGAAAATGTTGTTTAGCTTGCATAAAATATGTAAAAATAGAAATAAAATAATGATAAAAATAAATAGTTACAATAAACTATAAATCAATAAAAATAATAAATAAAAGAATTGTCAGATAAATTAACTGCACTTTAAACTGAAAATTAAAATATATCTAAATAACTTGAAAAATATAAACCCAAAATTCCTAGTCTCAAAAAACCATCTACAACAAAATAAGTTTAGTTGGATAAACAAAAATCTGAAGAGTAAGTGCCTATAACTTTATTATTATAATAAGGCAGAGTGACTGAAGCAGAAGTAAAATCAAATTAATATAAAATTTAATTAAGATTGGCAGAATAAAAAATTGATTAATTAAAGTAAGCTAATATGATTTATGAATAAGAATTGAAAAAAAATAATTAATAAAATTAACATTTATAAGATTTAATTAAGAATAGAGATTAAACAATTTAAGAACTTTAAAAATAATATAAATAAGAAAATTAAAAAATTATAAACGAATTAAATTAAGTTTAAAATAAATTTGTACCAGAAGATAAAGTTTAGGCTTTAAATGAGATAATTTCTTAGAAAGATTAAATAATTAATTAATTAAAGGATGAAATATAGAGGAAAAAAGATGTAGCTGATTAATTTAGAGGAGACAGAGAAGATTAAAAGTAAATTGTGGAAAAAATAAAAAAATAAAATGAAGATTTATTAACAGAAAATGAAAAATTAAAAAGAATAAATAAAGATAATGAAAGATAAAATATGAATTTTAAAGAATTTAAAGAGAAATATGACTAAATGAAAGCATAAGAAAAATAAATTTAAGATGAAATTAAGAGTATTTAAGAAAAAAATAAACAACTTAAATAAGACAATACAAGAAAAGATACAAATATTAAAGAATTAAGAGATAAAATTGATTAACTTTCCAATTAGAAACCTAATGATTCTGAAAAATAAGATCTAATACAATAAGTTAAGAAATTAAAAGAAGAAATAAATAGAAAAGATTAGGCAATAAAACACTTTAGATAAAAGTTTGAAGAGAAATCTAATGAATTTGAAGTTTATAAAAATGATTATGCCTAAAAATATGCATAGACAGTATCTGAATTAGGTAAAGAATAATTTTATTTTTAGAAAAGGAAATGAGAAAAAATGAATAAGGGAAAATTGGAAACAAGAAGTATGAAAATTAAATCAATATGTTAATATTCTTATTGAAACGTATTTATAGAGAGAATTTCATGGAACTTAATAAAGGCAATCAAGCTAAAGTTTGTATAAAGGGTGAAAATAAACCTAAAAACATAGCTAAATTTTCAGAGTCAATGAATATACTAAATTTAGGTCCTGAAGATCTAGAAGAATTTTTAGAACCAAATATTTCAGTAAGTACAGTGAAAAAATCAAATAATAAAGATTTGGATAGATTTGAGGCTTTATTTACAAATCCTGAATAATTGGATGTAAATTCAATTTTCAATATGATCAATAATGTGATTACTGAAAGAATAAATTGCAGTTGAATAAAATGAATTGCTTTATTAGTTAAATTATAATTTATACAATAATTTATTATTGAAATTAAGGTCTATTCCTATTACTTTAAGAAATTACTAAATTTCTGAGCAAGTTTATTTAAATAGAACCTTAAATCAATGATATTAATCAAAAAAAAAAACTAATAAAGAGTGCAAATTATTAAAATCCAGCTAATTTTTTTGTGTTTAATTTTTGGAATATACAAATTATGTGCAGATAAACTCAATTAATGTGAATAGGCTATAGTGTGTCATGTATCAAGATAAGTAATTTTAAATTTTAAATAAGCAGTTTATGTTCAAGTTATCAATTTTGATGTCCAACTAGTCTATTGGTCATTTAATTACATAAAAATAAAGAAATATTTTGGAGATAATAAAAACTTTGTGATTTCATAAGAAAATTAGGGCAATGAATCTATAGTTTTACAACTATTACTATAGCAATAAGATGCATAATGATTTTGAAGAAGTATATCAAATTTGTAACAAATAAAATTTAATCTATTGTTGAAATAGATCACTTTAAAATTTTTAAAAGATCATCCTAAGGGATAAAATTAGGATTGCTCACTATATCCTAAATTGTTCAATAAGAGAAATATATTTTAAAACATTAAAATATCCTCTTCAAAAAATAAACATTAATTGGACTTCAAAAATTATTTTGGAATGATTAATTTATTAACTTCTCATAAATGATCATAATTTATTATTTGTAAATATTATTCATGTTGATATTTTGGAAATATTGAGAAAAGAATTTGATTATTTTTATTCTTTATAAAACTTTTACATTAATAATAATAATTTTAGAAATTTTATGCATATTTTGTATTTATTTTTTGATATTTGTAATATTATTGATGTTAATAAAAGAAGGAATAAATATACTAATCAAAATATTTTAAAAAGAGAAAATAATATGATTATTTATATAATTAAATTTGATTAATATGTAAGATTAAGAAAAATAGGGAATTGATGATGCTTTGTTAATGGGTAATTAGAAGAGAGGCATAGATTATTATTTAGAACAATTAAAATTAACAACCTTTCAAGTTCTTTTTGTTATTCGTAATAGTGAGGATGAAGAAGAAGGAATGTTTGGATTCTATTTTTTTAATGCTTTAGATTATTTTCAAATGCATCAATTTCCATTTTATGTTACTATTTATTATTTATGGAAATAAGACACTTTTATGGAATTTATTACTCAAGTATAAAACTTATTTCAAATAAGCAATTACATTCCAAGTTTAACTTACGAATCGCTTTTAATGACTGTATACATTCTGCTATTTTTTATATTGTTAATCATACTAGATATTATATATGTATCATATTCATTTTCTCGTAATCGATTTTATTGGCTCTGGCCATTATTATTGTTAAAAAAAATAACATCTTTTGTTGTTACTGTTGGATTTTTACCAATAACGGAGACCTTAACTTCAATTTTACAATGTTATGTAGATCCAGATACAGGAAAATATGTAATATATGGCTACAATAATATTTTTATTGAATGTTGGTAAGATTGGCACACATTTCATGCCGTTTTAGATTTAACATTTATTATAATATTTTCTATAATTTGTAGTATTGTTGCTTATGCATTTTTTGAGCCAGCTATGAGTACTAATGATAGATCAGCAAGATAGGATTCAAATGGAGAAGTTGCTTTTATTACTAATAAAATTACTTGCTAATTAATGTTTAGTTTACTTAGGCCTAATTATACTGAATAAGCATGGATTATGGTAATAACTTCATTTATTTTATCGCTTTGGTTATTTAAATAATATAATTTTAATGATCCTTACTATGATTTTTAAGTTGGATTATTTTATTGTATATGTAGTACCCTTTATTTATGGGCATGTTTTATGTTATTAGTTTGCAAAGTCTTAGAAACAACAGAATTTACAGGTGGATTTATTGCTTGGTTGATAGGTGTTCCATTTATAATTAGTATAATGTTAATGACTAAGAAATCTAAAATTGAAACTCTTGTTAAATCATAAACAAAATTTAGAAGTGGAGAACAAATTTGGAGTCATATAAGATATGTATTACAATTAATACAAAATTAAGACAAAGATAGAAATTCTTATATGTTACTTGTTGGTTATATAGAAAAACACAAAGAAACTTGTAATTATGATGATTGTCCATTAAAAACAAAATTAAAATAAAGAAAGAAAGGAGGTTAAAATGATATTGATGAAATAATTAGAGGACTAATCTAAGAATTAGACAGAATGTTTGTGTAAGGTTTAAAAAAGTTTCCAAATTCAACTTATTTAAGAATTTTTTATGCTTTATTCTTAATAGAGAGAAGAAACAATAAATAGAAAGCTTTAGAATAATTTGAACTTGCTCAATATACAAAACCTGCTCTTTATTAAGAATTTATTATTTATAGATATAAAAAAGATATAAGAAGTAAAGGAATGAATTCTTAATAAGGAGAAGATGATGATATTGTTAATGCAATTGCATTTAAAAATTATTTATCTTTATGTGAAGAGAAAATGAAATTCTCTGCAAATTTACATAAAGAATTTTGGATAGAATTAAAAGAAGATCAACCTGATTTAGGAAGACTTATGAATATTGGTGCAAGAATTAGTAGAGTAACTAATGATGCAAGAGAAAATTATGAAAACATGCAAAAAATAAATTAGAATATGCCATAAACTATGTAAGTTTTTGGAAATTTTATGATTCATGTTATGAATGATTCTAAAGGAGGAATTAATGTATTAAATAAAGCAAGATAATTGAAAGAACATTTAAGAAAAAATTAGTAAGTACATAAAGATATGATAAATTTTGATACTGATCAAATCCCATTCATTTATGTAAGCGCAAAAAAATCAGACACTGGTAATATACTGTAAATTAATTCATTATTTACAGCATATTTTGGATATACTAAAGAAGAAGTTGTTGGAAAAAAAATTAATACTTTAATGCCTTAAAAATATGCAGAAAATCATGATAAATACATGAGCAACTTTTTTGATAATTTTGTACTCAATTTAAGATAAGAAGTTGGAATAGAAAGTGAATATCTAGATATTGATTAAAATAGATTATTTAAACATAAAAATGGATATCTATTTCCATTAACATATTAGGTTACATTACATTTAGATTCTCTTGTATATATTACAACTTTTAAATCAGAAGCAACATTAAGAACATAGATATATTTTGTAATTGATAAATTTACTTAGATTATGGAAATGTCTTCAAGTGCAATAACTTTTTTTGAATTAGAAATAAAAAATTTAGGAGATAGAATAAAACTAAATGATTATATTTCAGATGTATTAACTAAAAATGGAAAAGATGTTTTTTCTAAAATTCCAAAAAAAGAAGGATTTTATTATTTTAATTGTTAAGTTAAAGAAATTGTTTTACCTTTTCATAATCCAAATGATAGTGATGAAGAATAGAAAAAGAGTGAACGCACAGGATGTTACATAATTAAACTTGATAAGATTGAAAAAAATGAAGCAAATCTTAAATATATGATAAAAAAAGGAGCATAGAATACAGGTAGTGTTAGTAATCCCGATTCAGAATTAATATTAAAAGCAACTTCTTAGTAAAAAATATCTAATTTGGCAAATATGAGTTAAGACAGTTAAATTCCTTTAAGAAATTAAGATTGTTAAGATGTAGATCTTAATTTATTCAGTTACATGTAAGAATTATATGAAAATCCACAAGTAGATGAAATAAGGGATCTATTTAAATAATGCAATGCAGAAACTGAAAGTGTTCCATCAATTGATTTAGCAGGAAGTATTGTTACAAAAAGATATATCAATGGTTAAATTGTTAGTATTAATGAAGAATAGGAATAATTATTTTTACAAATTCTAGAAGAAGAAGAAGAGGAGAATTCTTTATTTAGAAATTAGGGGAATAATTTTGAAGATGAAGATGATTATAAACTATTTACTTATAGTAATTCTGCTAATTTAATTTAAATAGCTTTAAGAACACATCATAAACATCCATAAATTACTACTTTTAAAATTTATTCTTCATTATGGATTGTATTTATATTAGCTATGACCAGTTTATAATAATACTTTTGTTCTTAATAATTCAATAATTATAGAGTCGATGTTGAAATACTATAATTAATTAATAACTAATTAATTGAGATTAATAGATTAACTTCTAGAGTTTTAGATTTAGCTGTTTATTCAGCTAATCTCTATACATACAATACTACAGAAATTGCAAATGATATTTCTATATCAGCTTCTTCTGTTATTGATTTCAATTCTGCTATGAATTCAATAGATTATTTAAATTTCTAAACAAAATTTGAAGATGAAATTAAATTTAGATTTTATAAAGATAATAATTCTTATGATAATTAATTAAGATTAGAAACAGCTTTAGTTGTATTTTGTTCATTAGCATTGAATTCTTCAATAACTAATTACTAATCTATTACTTTTGATAATATATATTATTAAGGAATAGTTTATAATTATTTTGATGTACTCTACTAATAATTATGTGATATTTCAAGTTAAACTTATGAAAATATCAAAGATTAAATGGATAATCCATAAGTAAATTTATTGATTTTATTGTCTGCTTCAATTTTTGTTTCTGTTATGGCTATGATTAAATTTATTTTTCTTATGTTTGCAATTAAAACTTAAAGAGAAAATATTCTATTTCTATTTTTAGATATTCCAACCTATCATTTAGATGTTCTTTATAAGAAATGTGATAGATTTCTTAAAAACTATGTAAGTATAGAGGAACTTTAAAATAAATAAGAATAGCAAGGTTTTGAAAGTTCAGAAGATGAGAAAGAGCCTTTAGAAGAGAAAATAGAAGTCCTTAAAACTCCAGATGAAGATGAATCTGATATACTTTTAAGGTAAACTTAAAATAGAAAGAAGATTATTAAGAAGTATAGACAAAATAGGATTAAGGGAAATTAAGGGATAATTATATAGTATTTTATGTTTATATTCTAGATTTTTTGTTATATCAGTTTTTACTTTAGTATTTACTGTTTATAATATACTTGGAAGCTAATCGTAATAGTCATAAATAAACTTTCTTTTGCCTCAATATTATTAAAGTTTATATACTATCAATAATTATGGATATTATGTAAATATATAGAAGTTGATGATGCTCGATTATAATACGAAAATCAGAGGTATTTTTGTATCTGAATATGCAATAAATAATCTCACTATCTTTACAGGAAATGCTGAAAAAATGAGCTCAGTAATTAAAATAATAAAATTAATTAGTTTAATTTTGATATTTTATCTTAATTATAAACATTCAGAGACAAATACATCAATATCTATTATGGCAATCTTTGCTAATAAATTATGAAAACTTCTGAAATTGATCAATGTTAACAAATTATCAATTCTAATTTGTAATTAGTAATTTTATTTATTATTATCTAATTTAGGGAATTTATAATGCTGAATCTTATTTTTTAGAGTATTTTAGAATTAATATTCAAAATTTTTATAAGAATATCACTTAGTATTCTCAATTATTAAATGCAACTTAATTTTTTGAGATTGATAGAGCTTTATATAACTATATTTATGATGCAATAACAAATATAATCACTTATGAGAGAGATCTTATTTCAAGTGGCATGGATAACATATAAAACATTTAATTAATATTATTAATAATCTTTATAGTACTTCTAGTATCTATTTTTTTATTTGTTTGGATTCCATTTTTAAATGGATTGAATACATAAATCAATTAGACAATCGAAATGTTAAATATGATTCCATTAGAAGTAGTTAAAGAAAATAAGAGTATACGTAGATTTGTAAAGTCTTTAATAAAATCAATGAATAAATGATTTACTTATTTACCAGATAAATTTGTTATTATTCAATTAATATTTCTAAATTTATAAAAAATTAATAATGCAAGATTGGCCTTAATGCACTTATGCAAATCATAAAACACAAAGTATTATTGGATTTTGTTTTTCTTCTATGTGTAAAAACAAAAATAGATTATTATGTTTCGATTGTTTTAAAGAAAATTCTCATGATAACCATAAAAATGAAATAATACCAATTTAAGAGTTAACAGAATGGATGAAACTGCAAGAAAATGATTCATAAAAGGCACTAGATTTGTTGGATTAATATATTGAAATGATTTCAAAACCAATCTTATAAATATAAAAATAAGTTAAAAACTAAATCGATTATTTTTCTGAATAAGATTTAGTAAACTCTAATTATACAGAACTTGATGATAAAATTAAAAATTTAGTGAGATAGAAATTAATTAGAAATTAAATTTGCTCTGATGAACTAAAAAAATGGTTCATAAAGTTTAGCTAATTTTTAGAAAACTTGAATAAACTAATGACACAATAAAACATGACTAATACTCTTTTTTTGAAATAATTTAATTAACAATTTGAGTATAAAAGATAATTATTTTAGGGATATCATAAATCCTAAAAATTAAAATAATAATAACAGAAATCAATAAAGAGAAGGCTTTCTGGTAGGAAATTTCTTATAAAATGAAAAAAATTTATAAGGATAGTAAAATTTAAATTAAAATTAAGACGGTCTTTTGGAATTTTAAATTTAAATAGATTATTTATCTCAAATTTATAATTAAAAAAAGAATGAAAGGATTGATTTATTATCAGATCCTACAATTTATGATGGTATTATTAATAAATACAATAAAAAGGGATTGATCATCTATTTTATGGGTAACCAGATAAAGCAAAATAAATATTTGAAACTCTTTTAAAAAAGTAATCAGATCCTGATGTTGTTTTATGGTTAGGTAAAATTGATTTTGATATTAGCTTATTCTCAATATTGTTTAAAAAAATATAAAGAGGTAATTGCGACTTTAAAAGAACTTTTAAGAAATTAAGAAAATTAATAAATATTACAGCAGGGCTGGTACTTGATTTGTAATTATTATTGTTATATGTATAAAGTGATGAGTACAATTAGTTTATAATGTTATGGAGATGCCTTGATTAGTACATATAAATATTTGAAATTGAGACCTCATAGTCATAGAGGATGGATAAAAGCGGGTATTTTTGTAGATTTATAAAGGTTTTGTATTGATAAAAAATAATCAATTGTAATTGGCAATATCATATTTATTCTAAGTACTTAAATATGATGTGTATAATTTAGAAGCCAAAAGTTACTTATGTATTAGTTTTAAATATTACAAATAGGTTTGGCATACTATTTAACAAAGTAAACTTAGTTAGCACAGTAGTTATATGCAGAAATACTAAATTTGGACTCAAAAAGCACTTTTTTAAACTTTATAAACCCTTATATAAGAAGATGAAATATATACATATATAAATAAAAAAATAAATAATGAAAGAATATATTGAATACTTACAAAGACTTCTAAAGTTAAATAACATAGAGTTTGAGTAAGAAAAGGATTTCCAATAAGATAAATAGAATGAATTTAATAATGAATTAGGTTATGAACATATAAACAGATATAAAAGATAGATGATATTATCTGAAATAGGATTGTAAGGATAGAAACAAATTCAAAAGGCAAGAGTATTAATTGTGGGAGCAGGAGGTATTGGTGCACCTGCAATATATTATTTAGCAGGAGCAGGAGTTGGAACTATAGGATTAGTTGATGGTGATAATGTAGATGTGTCTAATTTACATCGTCAAATAATCCATAGTAATGAGAGATAAGGAATGAATAAGGTATTTAATTATAGTATTTATATAGTGTGAATCTGCTAAGTTATAAATTTAATAGTTTAATCCTTTAGTTAATGTTATAACACATAATAATAATTTATCATCTGCTAATGCAATTTAAATATTTTAGAATTATGATGTGATATTAGATGCCACAGATAATCCTGCTACAAGATATTTAATTAATGATACAGCTATTTATTTAAATAAACCTTTAGTTTCTGGTTCTTCAGTTGGTTGGGAAGGTCAAATAACAGTTTATGGTATGTCAGGACCTTGTTATAGATGCTTATTTCCTTAATGTCCTAAAACTGTTTAGAATTGTAATGAGGCTGGAGTATTTGGAGTTATGCCTGGATTAATCGGACTTATAGAAGCATTATAGGCTATTAAAATTATTATTGGACAGTAAACTTTAACATAAAAAATGATATTATTAGATGGTTTAAGAGATATATACAAAGTTGTTAAACTCAGAGGATAACAAAAGTATTTAATTTTAAATATAAAAATAGAGATTGTATTGCATGTTAAAAGTTAATTAACATAAATGAATATGACTATTGTGGTTTTGCATAAACTATATGTAGCTCTTCTGTTCCTTATAGAGGGGGATATAAAGAAATTGAATGGAAAGATTTTCTATAGATTTAAAGAAATGATCAAATTGTTTTGCTAGATGT